CCATCCCTCCCTCCCTGTCTGAAGCTGTCCTCCCAGCCATCTGTCATGTAATGTTTATGGGTCCTTTTGCTTTTGTGTCCTGATGACCACTGTCACAGAGAGCTACCCATTACCATTGCGGCCTGATGAACGATGTTACCCTGATGCAATGCTGACACCTGTGTGTCCTTGGCCGCAGAGACACTACCTTGCTAGCCAGCTCAGGCCAGTAAAGAATGAGGATGGGGGACCTGGGGGAGCTGGACTGAGGACCTGTCCATCATCCAGATGCTCATACCCGCCTCCCCCAAACACCGTCTCCATCTTTCTTTTCGTCTTTATCCAACCAATGGAAACATTAGGCCGGCCGGCATGGCAATGGCAAAGATGCTGTCATTAATCCTGAGGTGGTGAACAGTGCCCTTGCCTTTCACCTGAATATATTGTATATCTATATCTGAGCAGTCACAGTGAGGGACCCTTGTTCCTCTTCACATTCTAAAGGGTTAATGCAGGCAGGAGGAGATGATGAATGTGGCTGCATGTGATTTGATTCATCAAATAGAAATGTTTATGCTTGTTTTGATCTTTTATTCACCGTGTTTGAGGGTAGTGCAGCAAGCTAGAATAATGTTTTGTCATATTGAATCAATAGTGGAAATCCAACGCTGTTCTGATAGGACTTCGTTTACAAAGAAATGCTGGTAAAAACTGTTCAAATCTTGTGTCTGGGTTGCCCTTGAACCTGGCTACAACTTACTACAACCTCCACCTACAACTTATCATCCCTGAAATGTACAGTTTCATATAAAAGCTTGGATTTTTCCAAAATATTAAGTGGGTAATTTTCTGGTTAAAAGATGCGTAACATTTGATTGAAAAGTGAGCTTTTGTAGATACACTGAAATGACCAACTTCATATTGAAATATATGGATACAAATATTGTAATATGTGCTGTAATATGTAATCCAACCCAGGGGTCAGGTTCCCTGGGACTGTTGGAAAGCTCTGAGGGTTGCTGAGATTGAAAATAAAGAAGAAAAACACTTTTTCCTCAAATGTATTGTCAATTTGACAAAATAAACAAAAGAAAACGCCAAGGTCCAACACTGCATTTCACAGCCTTTCCTGGCAGAGATGATAATGCTCAAATTATTTGATTCACTTGTAATTTTCTGTCTTTGTGTTTTATTGTAGAATAATACAGTATCTTTCTACTTCTTTGAGCCTCTAAATGTTATTTGAATAACTTAATCTGCAAAAGGTAGTATTTTGTTTGAATAGCTCAGACACAGGCAACCTGTGATGGGGAATGTCCTGACAAGACCATTTTATTTTAAAAGAACACAAATCAAAAAGGTTGGGAACGGCTGATCAATGCAACCGGATTTTGCAATTTGTTAACATAGTCCCGGCAACGTCTTTTGGGCTGAAAATCTCTGAATCACTACCTAAAGTTACTTAAATACATCGTAAAGATTAACTTCTTAATCCTTCGGGTTTGGACTGAGGTTAGGTTTAGTATGGAACAAAACATCCAGGCCATACTAACAGAAGTACACAACAGAAAAGATCATCCTTCCACAGTTGTGTAACATAATGTGAACAATCTGCTGGACAAAATACAAAATCTCATTTAATCAGTGAGGCCTTCTCTTCTCTTGTGCCTGCCTCCCTCCCTCCCTCCCTCCCCCGCACTTCGCTGTCTCTCCGTGAACGTCTTTACTGGCCGGTGAAGCCACTGATGAATTCTTAAGCAGATCACACTGATAATTGTATTTCATAACTGTCAGTTGTGCGAGGGCTGCCAGTGTGCCCAGGAGCTATTTGTGTCTCAATATGTCCTGCGCACACCTTCCTGCCCCCCACCCCCCCAGCCCATGTCCAGCCCTCCAATCACCAGAGATGTTCTTACTGTCTCCAGCCTCGAATTACTCAATCAGGAGGACAGATTTACGGATGACACCTTTATTGCAATTAATCAGGGGAACTTGATTAAGAAAGTTATTCCTCCCCTTCATTGAGACTTATACAAGTGGTGCTGTTGCATATTGTAATTTATGTCCCACGGAGCTCTCATGCCACTGACAGACAGAAACGTAGACAGACTGCCAGCCATACTGAGACACATATGGACATTTGTGTGTGTGTGTGTGTTAGAGGGTGGGTATGCGCACGCATGCAACCCTCAGGCACATCTAGGTATCCTGAAACACATGCACAGCCACAAACAAACATCTCCCTATCATTCTGTCATGCACGACTCAGGATTTGCAAAGAGTTTAATAAATGACTTTAATTGGCTGTAGAGATGAGCTCACTGAAGGAGGCTTGAATATTCCACTTCCCTTTCTTCTTGTCTGTTTCTTTCACTCTCCTTTGCTTTAACACACACACACACACACACACACACACATATTCCTGAATGAAGCCATCTCTTTACCTTTACTCACAGTTCCTGAGTCTGCTGTGGCTAATTAGTTGAGTGGGGTTTTAGGTTTGGTAATTAGGCGTAGGAGGTAGGAGTGACGGGGGCTCAGGGAGTTGGGGAGTTGAGGGGGTTTGACTGACTTGCAGAGAAAGAAACTGGACTGTCTGGATCCTGGCAGCACCGAGCAGCCAGCCAGTGTCCCTCAGGCACCTGGAGGTAGACTACCATCCCACACTATGAGGGTGATGTCTTTGTTATGTGCCACATGTTCCACTAAGAAGAGGCTTTGGAAAAGGAGTTTTGTGGGTGGGGGGTACAGTGAGAGACCTTTGAGAATTTCACTACCCTGAATGTCAGCGTGCAACAGTAAAAACCAGCAGTGTACTACTGTCTTGAACTGAAATTTAAAATGGATTGGAGAGCTACAAAAATGTTATCTTTCAACCAGTAATGTAAAGGTGAAAAACAAAAAGAACATTTTCATGTTAAAGAGATCGAGCAGCAGCCACTGTGGCCACAAGTGACAACTACAGAATAATGTTACGTGCTAGTGATACACTAGCACAAGTAGAGAGGTGCTGCGAAGTCAGCAAGATGACTAAGTGATGACAGTTCTTCAACAAAAGCCATCCTTCTAGTTAACAAAGGGCACCCTAAGCTACTTGTTGTATACTGGACCAGCAGCAAAAAAACTGAGTTTGTTACGCTGAACAAGAGTGCCTATTCTAATTCCTGAGTTCAGCTTCTTATTTGTTCCAAAAGAAAGATAGTTTCCCTTTGAAAAAACAGCACCAAGAGCAGAAAACCTCAGACAACCACCAGTTCTGTTGTGTTCTGACAGATGAAATCAGCACCTTCACCGATCTCCTAATGAAGTAGATTACAAACTGTTTGGTACTTGTTATAATCTATGTTTTGTATTTAAATCATTACATCAGGTTAGAAAAGTGTACATTTAGTTTACTCTCTGTTGCTGCCATTTACATACCGTAACTATTTAAATGTAACTGGTGTGTTAATGGCCTTTTCTTTTAGTCACTCCTGACTAAAATGAGAGAGATCCTTGGTATGATTCCTCGATGGAAGAAATGTTTCCACATCACCTAACACACGTCTGTGGCTGCTTCTCTAGAAGACCTTCTCTGCGATCTCTTGCATGTTTCGTTTACGCTCCACAGTTCCAGGTTGGTTCAATACGTTGCCAGTTAGCAGCCTCCGACTGCAACACAATCCAATTAAATAAAGAGTGTTGTCTCTCCAGGTTGCTGTTCTCTCTAATTGGGGCTGTGACTGCTCACTAATCAGCGGAGGTACAGGTAGGCCCCTGAGGACGCTGAGACGAGGCCTCTCCTGTTAATTGAAGAGATGCTAAACCTGGCCTCTTCCTCGCCCTGCAACATGGGTGCACACAGTACTCAAGCATGCAAAATTCATCTAAACCTACATGTGCATCATCAGCTTTCACACCTTTTGTAAGTCTGGCATGTAAAAGCTTGCTTTTTCATCATCACGCCTGAGCAAACAGTGGTGATACAGAGGCGGCTGCAAAACTTTAATGATCTGTGTTTGTTCTGCTGGTCTGATATAGGCCTGAAAACCAAATTACATCATATCCTAAATTTGACAATGGCCACTGTCTCTGCTGAAAATTGTGTGTTCTTCTGATTTCCTCCGCTATGGATTGAAAACAGCCTTGGCCTGGTGTGTTTCTGATTTCCTGCGCTGGCTACTGAAGGTAGCAGCTTTGCATGCTGGGGTCACACCTGTAACATATTTCACACTGGGCTATATTTTGAGTGGCCACCTGGATGAGGAAATAACATGTTCACAGTGCATGAAGACTACAGCCATCCCTGCCCGGTAGGAACAGGTGTTTGTTTGAGAGGACACAGCACATTAACACAACATGGACTGCCTCAACACAGCTCATGTCTATTTCTTGTTTTTGAGGAATGAGGTTTCAGCATGTTGTTCAGTTTTAAAAAGTTCAAACCTGTGAGATTTTAGAAGGCTTTTACGTAATACGGCTGTGAAAGTGCAATACTGTAAGAACGCATCTTCTCAGTCTTCTCTTTCGATAATGTTTGGGTTTTATGTAGTAATGATCTGCCATGTGACTAAACTTCAGAAGGTAGGTTTCTTGTTTTCAAAACAAAATTAAATACATAAAAGTGGAAATGGAAAAAAAATGTCAAAGGGCATTCTAAAATACATTCACAATGAGTGATTTTTTTTTCTTACAGCCGGGAGAAGTAATGGCATTTTCTAGTCCGACTCTTGGTTAGCTGGACTAATTTTTTTTTTATTATGTGCAGCTTCGGGGCATGTGAACAAAAAGATTGATTGTGTGAATGCTGTTTCTGTCAGCCACAAACAGGCAATGAAATACCAAGCACACCTGGAGCAGCACTCACTTTTGACAAGCACATACCAACGTAAGCCCTTATTAGAAAAACAATGAAGTCCATCATAAAACATTTATGGTAGATAAAGTGCCCGAGAGCGCTAAAAGCAAGCACATTATGGCGGCAGGTCTTAAGCTATTTCAGAGTTGCAGGATTATCATCAAAGAACAGTTAATTAGTTTTCAGATATATATTTTATATCAATCTTGAAAATTAGGGATTATTCAACACTCACCTAAATTATAATTAATCACATTTTAATGTGCAAAGTTTCCAAAGTTTGATGACAGAAAATAAAGATAATTATATTAATTCATGACAGCATCACGTTGCTTTACTTATATCAGTCACGTTACAAAAACGTGGAACCCAATGTCTATTAGAATTGATTAAAGGCCTAACTCACAGTTTTCAGTTTTAAACTTGATTATTTGAGTCCAAGTGTAATTTCTTTACTGCATTAACTAATCACAGCTTACTGTTACTAACAGAGTTTGGTGCCACTTCCACCACAACCTTGCCCACGTTTTTCCCAGCATACATGTAGTCCACAGCCCGGAAGACCGACTCTAAGCCTACGAACCTCCCCTCTTGTGACAAATCCCCATGATCCACCTCACACACTAGTGTCCCCTTGGCAAACATCTGCATCATGCTACCCAGAGCCTCTCTGTAGTCACTGAGGAAGTGGTTCAGGAAGAAACCCCGAATGCTGGCTGACTTCTGGAGCAGCTTGACCGGCAGCGTTCCTCCTCTGAACGGTGGGATCCCTGATGCTGTCTGGTACCCTGAGATGAAGCCAATCACTATCAGCCTCCCCTTATTGGCCAAACTGTTCACTGCGAGTTCCAAGACACTGCCTCCTACTGACTCATACACCACGTCTATGCCTTGCAGATACTCCTTCCTCAGTGTCTTGGCCAGGTCTTCTGTGGTGTAGTTGATTGGCCTGTCACAGCCGAGGGATTTAAGGAATCCAGCTTTCTCATTGGATGAACAAGTCCCAATAACATGGCAGCCGGCCTGCTTGGCCAACTGCACAGCAAACTGTCCAGTCCCTCCTGCAGCTGCCGTTACCAGGACGGTCTCACCTTTGGCCAGGTCGCCCAGACGTTTCAAGGCGATGTAGGCAGTGGCACCGCTGACCAGCAGGGTGAGGAACTCAGGCTGCACTGCAGGGACGGGCACAGCTTCCTTGGCTGGCACCACCGTGTACTCAGCAAACGCACCGCTCCCAAAGTAGGCCACGGTGTCCCCAACGGTGTACTGGGAGCTGGCACTAAGGCCGAGGCCAACAACCTCACCAATACCCTCAAAACCAGCATCGAAGGGGGGCTTCACTGAGGGGTCGTAACGGCCAGCCGAGTAATTAATGTCAGAGGCGTTGATTCCCACAAACCTGAAAGATAAGCAGAACATTGGACAATAACCGTAAGAAAACAACAAAACTGTTACATTATTAGATGGTGAACCAAAAACACACATAAGTGTCACAGTGGCAAAACAATGACTTTTATGTGGTTCATTAGTGTAAGCACATATTTCCTGAATGCCTGCTTGAAGGTCAAGACTTCAGCTTCCTCCTCTAGACGCGTCTGCACGGGGCACAAACACTGGTTTGTTTTGGCAATGATTCCCTTTTCTCTCGAAGAGAACAGTCCTGCACTGACAGGGAAGGGCTTGTATCACAAAACACACTGCATGATGTCACGATTCATTGTCTTCAGAGACACCCACAACAAAGTGCACTTAAAAAAAAAAAAATCTTAGATAGGTGCGAAGACGGCTGTTTTCATCTTAGTTTGGTAACATGCTGGAAACAAATATGTGAGAAAGAAAAGTATAAATAAATCATTTACTTTCTTTTAGAGCGCCACGCATGCTGTGTCTCATTACAGTGTGTGTCACATGTGTACTTGGAGCTTGTAGATAACGCTTCTGTGGTTTATAGATGGGTCACGGGGACATAACAAAACACCTAGGTTTGACTCTTTTACATCTGTTTTCACATAAAGATATCATGTTGTCGTCAAAGGTACAACTATTACAATATACACAACTAAAAATACTACACTACCGGAGTTTAGACAAATTACAATAAGCTGATATTTGTGACAATAAAGTCACAGTCTGTTAAAATATAGCTTTTTAAAAATGTTTAAAGTGTTAACGTCTTCTACATCATGTGCAGCACACCTGACAGGACAGAGGAGAAAAGCATCTGTCTGAATGATACTAAATGAAATTTTGCTAATTTAAGGCCTTTCTTTTGGATTTTGAAGAATTGTGACAAATGTATGTAAATGATTAGCTTTTGGGTGCATTTATTAAAAAATAAATAAATAAGTAAAAGAAAATTCTGAATTTCAGACCAAGCATTCAAGATTGTTTAGTTAGAAAAAAAAACAAAACAAAAAAAAGCTTTTCATACAGTTTGACGCTGCCTGTTTTTCTTGTGCAGGTGATGAGTTTGTTTACATTTATGTGTTCTATTGAAAAGCGTACACATAGATCAGAAGTGGTGCTGATGTAAATGTGATGAACATTCAGGAGTCTTGGCATTTAAGGATTTACTGCAGACTTTAAAAGATCTACTTCCATTACATCATCAGTAACATTTAAAATAAAAGAAACAAGTTTGATGTCAATTTTTGTGAACTAGCCTTGATCTTCTCATTTAATTCAACTGCAATCAATTCAATTTCCTCCTTTGCTATATCTCATTTAACACTTTCAGATTTGAAGTTTCATTAAGACTGCACTAATACTGTGATAAGTGTTTCAGTTTTCACCACAAGTCCAAAACTGTTACATAAACCATTGTCCTAGATGTGATGCCTCACTCACACAGGCAGTAGAAGGTCTGAGTTCAACTGATCACTGTCTTCCAAGCAACACGCCACTAATGAAATAGGTTTAGCACTCCCTTTTAAAACGGTGTTTTCCTGGAGATAAATACCTTGATGTGCATTTGGGTAAGGCTATTTTAACATATAAGAGTTGGTAATGTGAATCAAACCTGAGGCAAGTTATTAACTCCAGCCGGAATGACAAACAAAAACAGAAATCCTGTTTTCACCAAGAGCTGTAATTTATGCCTTTTCCAAGTGAAATGAACAAATATTTAGTTTAATGCTGTCACTTTATATCATAATCATTCAGACTAGGTCAAACTAAAAGCAGGTGTATCCACTGACTCCAGGTGCTGTGCCCTGACTGTGAACACACTGCTGGGCTCTGCTGTTGTAAATGAGAGAAATGTTGCTGCAGATCCCGCGACAGTAACACTGCATCTCCTTCTCCATCATCCCCATCTCTTGATGCCACCCCCACCCCCCATTACTTTCTGTTTGCAGGTTGGTGACGTACAGAGACAGGAGAGAGAGAGAGAGAGAGAGAAAGAAAGAGAGAGAGAGAGCTGCCGAGATGGATTGATGGACAAATGCAGAGAGGGCGGAACTTGGAATTAGAGTACAGCGCTTATTCTTCACGTATATTGCCATCTTGTAATGATGATGACGATTGCAGGTGCTGGACATGGGTAACTCGAGGTAAGAGGAGCTTTTTTACAACTTCTCAACAAAACTGTGATATATCGATATCAACTGATGATTCACAAACAGACTCGTAGCACGCCTTGGACCACCTATTCTGTGCACGCAGAGAAAACTCGTTTTCTACCCACCTTTCAAAAACAACTTACCGATTTCTCACGAGCAAGTCCGCGTCTCCGGGTGTCGGAACAGCAACGGTTTGCACAGCAACGGCCTCTCTGAAATTCTGAGAAAGCTTAGAGACGACCAGCTTTTTCATAGTGCTCGGTATAGAGGATCCTTTGAAATCCATGAAGTGCGCTGAGTAGGACGTATCTATGATGAAGCGCCGCGCAACCGGATGAACTCCTGAAAGTGCGTCGGTGCCTCTGCGCCCCCCGCAGATAACCGAAAACGCTCTCCTGCCGTTTCTTACCAAGAGCAGACACGACATGGCTCCCAAATGTGACAAAGTTCACGGGTAACTTGACGTGAACCAGTGGCACTAAAAAGCTCGACTGCCAGTAGCCTGCGCTATAGGTTTTCCATCTGCACATGCACGGCACGCAGGCTGGGAAGAGCCGGAACAAACGCGCTTTTGTCACTTAAGTAAAAACAACATGGGCAGAATGGACTATTTAGAATTAAAACGCTGCACTAGTGCAGCCTGGTAAGTAGCACAGCAGCGCCCCAGACTTGTCGTCGGAGTCCCTCCCCTTCCCGGACACAACACTCACTTCCTTGTAAGGTGAAACAAATCAATCCTCATCTCCTAACATATCCGCAGCCTTTCCCCCTCTAAAACAAAACCGACCCGACAGAGCCTTTCAAACACCCAGAATATCTAGTATATAATCATATAATCAATCTCTGCGTTTTGCGCAAATGCGCTTGCATTTAATCCACATTTTATTTGGAGAGCGCTGTTGTCAAAACGTGCTTTTGCCCCCATGTACACCTGTAACCAAAACGTTGATCCGCGATTTGTGAAGGTCTGTTGTGTGCATTCCATTGTGATTGCACGTTTCATTTCCCGGTGTTATTGTTTATTGTCATGACTGTCGTTTTCCAGAAGCTATAAGGCAAAATGTTCCACTAATACTACAACATGTTGGACCACTGAACCCTCGTCCCACCCCGAGTGGGAGTCGAAGTCTTCACTAGTGCCATGTCAGTGACTTCTTTTATAAGCTAAAGATGCCATACAAGTTGTAGCAACCTGAGTGATTCTTGTTGTGGTCTACAATACATGTTAGTTTGGTTTTAGTCCCCCGATAAGTTCCGAAAGGATCGTTTCCTTTGTCGGAGGTTTGGGATTTTAAAGCGAAGGGAGAAAGCGCGAGAGGGGGGGAGAGAACAAGACAATTAAAAAGATTGACAGGTAGGCTCCTCTGTCAGGGGTGACGCTTGTGGAGAGGGAGGAGTAAAAATGTAGCAGGAAAAGCCACTCGATGCGTCTGTCTATCAGTTGAGACTGTCTGAAACAGCTTCTGGATCCACCGCGTTTCCATTTTTTTCTGTTTCTTTTTTTTGGGAGATCTCGGATCAGTCCCTGGAGTTTGTTCTCCTCTTTTTTCGCCTTTTAAAGAGACAAATATTTCAGTCTGTGCCCATCTGATCTGTTGTTTGCGAAGCTTGGATGCGCCTGCGTCTTGTTTTCCCCCCTCTATCAAGTGATATCCTCTCCACCGCATCAACCACCCCTCCAAAAAACCCGAGTCTGTCCAAGATGCGATGAGATGAGCGGTGGAAATCATTTCCACGACTCTTAAAACGTAAGTAAGAGAGAAATCCCGCTCGTCCCATTTTTTTTCCAATGGCAGAAAAAGAAGGAAGGAGGGGAGGGAAGGGAAAGTCTCTGCCGGACTGGTGAGGCTGGATCCGGGCTGAGGTGGCGTGGTGGTGACGGGACTGACATTAACCCATCTAATGCCTGTCTATCTGTTTTGTCCTCTCCCCTTTCTTTCTTTCAGGGCACTGGCAGGAGAAGAGAAGAGAAGGAAACACTAGGATACATTACTTATCAGAGCTGTGCGGTGCGATCACACAGGACTTATATTTGTTTGGTTACCGCTCGAGTTTATTTATTTTTTAGTTTTGTGCGTAAAAGACGCAGCCAACTATCACCCCCCTACAAACAGCACTGGAGATTAGGGGATTTTTCAAGGGGGAGTGAACAGAAAACTTGGTTTTAAAGGTTCTCAGTTGCTGCTTCTGCTTCTTTTTTTCCACCCTGCCACGAGAAAGATGAAGGAAGATGATCTTTGATGGACATGAAGGTGTCAGGAGCTGGGCCGAATCCCTTCGTAAATGTTGAGCTTATTCTCGCTGAAGCCGATCGAGCTTTAAAGCCCCAGAAAGAGCAGCCAGTTTGAGAAGAAGACTGACAGTTTCAGCACCGAGACCCAAATCTCCAGCCCCGAGCACGGGATGATTTTTACTAACTGATAGACCTCGTTTGTAATTCCTGCATGAGAAGTACCGTGGAACGTGACGGTCACTATGCCGAGGAGAAAGCAGCAAGAGCCGCGGCGATCAGCAGGTATAACCCGCCCCTACCATTTCTCATCCCAGTAGCCAACTAGTTTTATTTACAAGTGCCAAATAGACATTTCTTCTTCTTTATAACAGCGTATAGCTGCGCTGCACACTGCGATTTATTTTACAGCTTTGTGTAAACTAAAATTGTTTTGTTGCTAACACAACGCGGAACTCACCTCCTGACCCACAGTTGTGGTAAAATCTGTGTCCAACTGCGCAAATGACGCACGCATCTGCGCACTCCCACTTTGAGGTTTTTAAATCCTCTTTTGCCAGGAAAGTTCTTATACGAATGGTGAGATAAACTAAATGGCATGCTATGGGGGATAACAAGGAGCTGCTGAGGTTCAAGAGTGAGTAATGATGAATAATTGACCGTTAAGAAAGGGGGAGAAAACTGGTGAGAGCCGTTTCCCCCCTATTCTTTCTGTTTTATTAGAGGAATGCCATCCTTGATTTGATGCGTGATTGATCGCCTGTCATGTGGCAGACTTTGATCTATTCATCCCTGATAAACGTCAATAAATCCCCAGTGAAGACAGACATGCCTCTGGTAGGTTTAGCCACTGAAACACACAACCATCCTGTTGCTTCAATGAGGAATGGAAAACAAAAGTTGTGAATCATGTTTAAAAAAATCACCTCATTTTATTTTAGGTGAATGTGTTAATAGTGGGTGAAGGGATGATGCATGTGTTGGAAAACTCACAGGAAAAATCAGTAAATCCAGTGTTTGAGTCTCTTTTGTGTATCTTTTATTCGTAGAGATAAATGTTAAAAATTCACCCCACATTCACTACAAGAATCAATCCAGCAATGAAATCAATACCCGCTGCTGCAGGGGAGTATAATATTTGCTCTGTGACCAACTGATATAACCAGGTGTTGGCAGAGGACCGACAAGGTTGACTTCTAGTGGTTTGGATTTGAACTCCCCCTTTTTCCTCTCGTCTCCCTGCAGCCTTTAAACAAATGTAAATGAGTGACAGGGGTTTCTACCTCTGTGCTAATGAGGCCGAGGCTTTGAAGTTAGGTATTAACAACTGGAGTGAACAAAAGACAGTTACAGAATTTTAAAGAGATTTTGAAATATGAGGTGCAAAGCGGGTCGAACAGGAGGGCTAGCCGACGAAGACTTTGAACTCAGCAGGTTTTATCATTTTATGCAGGGAGCTGGTGATGGTGGTGGTGGTGGTGGTGAGGAGGATGAGAATGAGTGTAGGATGGAGAACATTCAACTGGTGCTCGCTGCTGACTCCTTTCTGCCTAGCCTTTCTAGCAAAGCAGTGTTCACCATTAAGAACTATTTCTGGCTCTGACTGCAAAGCAAGGGTTCAGATTTAGATGTCGAACCTCACTGTACTTTTCTGTTTGTGTGTGTAAGTGTGTGCGAAAGAGTTTTGGCTGTTGTTTTGGTGAAATATCCCTTTGCAGGAGGCTGGCCACTGTGGGAGCAGAGTGACTCTCCTTATATTTCTGCATATAGATGGAGGCATGAAAACATGAGATCACTGTGACCGCTCCCCCCCCCCAACCACA